GGAGGGGGGAGGGGAGGAGGGCAGAGGGAAGGGGAAACAAAGGGGCGGGCGTGAATCGAGGGGCCGGAGCGAAGAGGTAGGGAAGAGGGCGGAGGTGGCCTAGGTGAAGGGGGATCGAGACGGACGGTGAAGTGCGCAGAGAGGGAGGGAGGGATGGATCTCTTTATTTCTTTCGGTCTAGCTTCGAGTTGCGAGCTGCGCTTTCAGCCTGCTGTTCGTTGATCGACTTCAGTCCTTTGTGGCTTTGCGTTGCGTTGCCATTGGAGATGCGTTTATGATGTTTCAGAGGCCCACCTAAAGGGAGGGACATGATTAACGTCAAGGCGCTGAAATAAGAACTGATTTGGGATCGTGAGGTGCTCTGGTTTTCGGGCCGCATCTTGGATCCAGTACGGCGAACCTGTTCGTGGCCGAGACTCGCCGTTACCAGAAAAAACGTTCCTCATTTGGCGCTCTTTCTGGTAGCACGATGGCTGCATAGCCTCCAGAGCGTGCGGGGGCGTCCGCCGCACCGCGATCGAAGTTCGAGCGCGTGGGTTTCCTCGCGGCGTGCGCTGCCCGGCTGTAATTGTGCCAGTTCTCTGGCGCTACCTGCTCGGGCACAGCCGGCCCCCGGCCACGCACTGTCCGCGTTGGGAACTTGCGCTGCTTGGAGCCTAGCGTGTGTGTGTGTGTGTGAGATGGACGAATGTATGCTGGCATAAACGACAGTTTTTGGAAGTCCTGGCGGATGTCCTGGATCGGCGCTGCTCCCCTCTGGCGCGCTCCGCGCTCCAGGGAGGAGATCCTGCGCCGATCCAAGACATCTGCGCGGAGCTCCGAGCGCAAATGTGTACTGCGACCTGCTTATGGATCAACTGGGGGGTGACAAACGTGAAAACGCGGCGCGGCCAAACCCCCCCGGCACACCCCCGCGCCCCAGCGGGGAAGGGGACGAACCCCAACCCCCCCCCTGGCACCCCCGCGGACGCGCCGCGGCCAACCCCCCCTGGCACTCCAAGGGGGGGGGGGGGCGATGATTAAGCGATCCAGAGTACGCAGCTTTTTCTGCCTCCGGCAGCGCCGTCTTGCGCCTAATGCCTTCCGCCTCGGCCGCTGCGCGCCGCCGCTCCCGTCCCCTGGCCTCTGGGCCCTGCCGCAGCGTCGCCCCCGGACTCCTCCGCCGCGCTTTCCGCCCTCGCCCTGCCCCGCGCTTTCGCAGCTCTCTCCGCGCGCGGGCTGGACGGCTTCGCGTGGCGCCCGCCCGCGACGACGGAGTAGTGCGCGTGTGTGTGTGTGTGTGTGTGTGTGTGTGTTTGTGTTGTGTGTGTGTGTGTTGTGTGTTGTGTTTGCGTGTGTGTGTGTGTGTGTTGTGTGTATTGTGTGTTGTGTGTCGTGTGCCGTGTGCTTTTGCGCCCCGCCGTCGCGCGCGGGGCCGCGACGCCCAAAACAGAGCGTGTGTGCGTCGTTGCGCAATTCGCGTTTCGTATGACCTACCACCGCCTTTTCCGCCAGCGCAGTGACTCTGCCTAGCCGCCGACGCAAAAAGTGTGTGTCTGTGTGTGTGTGTGTCTGTGCCTAGCCGTGCCTTGTATATGTGCGCGTGTGCGTGTGCGTGTGTGTGTGTGTGTGTGTGTGTGTGTGTGTGTGTGTGTGTGTGTGTGTCTGTGTGTGGTGTGTGGGTGTGTGTGTTTGTGTGTATGTGTGTGTATGTGTGTGGTTGTGTGTGCGCGTATGTGCGCGTGTGCATGCGTGCGTGCGCGTGCGCGCGTGCATGCGACATGCTCCAACGTGCCCTCGATGCCCGCAGCGCTAGCAGTCTCGCCGTACTCGTCACGACGCTCATCGACAACGGTGGGCGGGGCAAGGGGTGGCAGGCCTTCTGCGGCTGGCTGGCCAGGTCAGGTCTCCAAGCCAGATGACCAAATTCCTCTTGGAACTGTTGTCCGACATCGGCTAGCCAGCCCTGGGACGACGCAGAGTTCCCTCCCCTCGGCGCTGCGGCACCCCGCCAAGTCTACCTCCGACGAAGCCCCTCACCCCGATGCGAGGGCGACGGGCGCCCACACGCCAAGGCGAAGGCCGCCCCCCAACGCGGACGCACCGGCAGTGCCGCGCCGGAGCCCCCCCCCAGCAACGGCGCGTCGTGCACGCCCAAAAGTGCCCACGGGGCGGAGGGCGCCTCTCGCTCCGCTTCAGCCAGCGGCAGCGATCGAGACGGCCCCCCTGGCGAACGCCCCATGGGCTCCAATCCGCCGGGACCTGCCCCTGAGACGCCACCCGCCTCTCGTGCGGCTTCCGCCCGCGGTGGCTCCCGTGGGTCGACCCCAGGCCCTTCTGGCGCGCCCGCTGCGGGCCGTCCAGCGCCGGCCAGTCAGGCCGACGCCGCCGCCCGCCAGGCACCAGTCGATCACATTGACAGCCGTCTTCGGCTCCGCGGCCCTCCTAGCGAAGCGACTCGCGGCCATCGCCGTCGCTGTCAGTGCCACCTACGGGGAAGCGGAGTGGGAGGCCTTCGCCAAGCACCACGGGTCATTGCTGCCGGCACGGACCAAACCCAGTGCGTGGGACGACAACCAGCTGCGCCGCTTCCCGGCGGAAAGGTGGACCCAGCTCGGCTTTTCCAGCTCGACTCCACTGGCCTCCAGAGGCTCCCTGCGGCCTGGTCCACAACCGAATCCTCCTTGTCGAGCGCCGCCCCCAAGGCAGCGACTGTGGTTCGCGTCGCCGACTCCGCTATCGCCCACTGGCACGACTGGGCAATGCGGCAATTTCGGACCACGGGCCCCGTTGCCAGTGGCCAGCGACCCTCTGACCCCCATGCCATCTCTGGTCACCAGCTCAGTCGCTTCATCCGCTCCCTCCCCGAAGACGTCCTCTCTCTCCGCCTCCTAGGTCGAGGAGGACTCGACACCTGCCACTCCTGCCGGGGAGCCTGGTGCTGCGTCGTCTCCATGTGGGACGTGCCCTGGGGCCTGGGCGGCGGCCAGTGCGCTCTCCCCTTCTCCCCGCCGCCCACGCTCGGATGGCAACGTGGCGCCCCCTATGAACCAGCGCGCGAGGGCACCAGCCTAAATTTCGGCCGCCGTACTTGACTTGTTTCGCGTCTTCGTCGCGCGGGAGGCTGCGACCGCCCAAAAGTGTGCATGTGTGTGTGTGCGTGTGTGTGTGTGTGTGTGTGTGTGTGTGTGTGTGTGTGTGTGTGTGTGCGTGTTCGTGTACATGGTCGTGTACATGTGTGTATGTGTGTGCATGTGTGTGTGCGTGTACATGTGTGTATGTGTGTGCATGTGTGTGTGCGTGTGTGCGTATGTGTGTGTGTGTGCTCCACGCCTGGATGGCAATGTGCTGCCCCCTATGAACCAGCGCCCGCGGGCACCGACCTCAGTTTCGGCCGCCGTACTTGACTCGCTTCGCCTCGTCGCCGCGTGCGAGGCCGCGACCGCCAAACAGGGGCGTGTGTTTGTGCGCGAGTCTCTGCGCTTGATGTGCGTCTCATCTGCCGTCTCACTGCCGCGCCTGGTGCTGGATATCTGCTCGCCCCAACGGCGGCGAGGCTCTGACCGCGTGCGCCTCGCCCCTGCGGCGGCGAGGCTCTGACCCCATGGCCAGCGCCCCTCTCTGCGACAAGCTGCTGGACCGCACCGCGAGCAGCCCCTTCAGCACCTCGAGCAGCACGGCCACGACCTGCGCTATGAGCTCCGACAAGTGCCCTGCTCCTCTCTCCCTCTCCCTGTCGTGCCGCTCCGCGCTTTGGGAACGGCGGTGCCGATGCCGACGACCACGACAACGACCACGACCACGACCACGACCACGACCACGACCACCACGTTAACCACGACGACCTAACGATGGATCCAGACACCCAGCGCCTCGAAAGCATCCAGACGGCAGTTCGTGTTCACCATGCGTGGGCCTTCTGAGGCAGGTTTCGGGCCCTGTGGCCCTCAGAAATTGGCTTGGGATAAAAAGCCGGCCCCAGGGAGGTGGTCGAGAGGTCTGGGGGCCGACGTCTCGAACAAATCGAGCCGCTGGATGTCTTGGCATGGTGAGGAGGGCGACGTTGGTGCTGCTCGCTCATGGAGTAGAGAGCAAAAAGGTTCTTTGATTGGGTCGATCAGGGTTGCGTAAAGACACCTGAGCCACGCAAGATAACGGTGGCGTTTGCACGGACATGCGTGCGTAAGCGTTCCGCGGAAGGGGTCGGATAAGCGCCCTCGCTTTGAACGCGGCGTGCCGCGCTGGCGGCCCGCGTGCGCCGCCGCGTAAGGTCGATATGCCACCTCGCGCAGCACCCCCCTTGTTTCTCGTCGCTCACCAGAGACGGCTCTCCAAACGGCCCCAGGGTGCCCCAGGATACCGCGACCCCAAAAGCAGCCCCAGCATGCCTCCCGAACGGCCTCTCCCGCATGCGCCCCTGGGGCTCTGTGACGGCGGTGCCCGCCCAGAAGGGCCCCCAAGGCGTCCCCGAGGCGGCATGGGATGCCTGATACAGACGACCTTCAAGCGGACACCTGACGGTTCGAGCAACATCGAGCGGCGCATTTTTGTTGCTGTCTTGGGTCTGAAGAGGCCGCATTCGGGCCCCTGGACCGTCAAGGAACGATTCGGCATGAAAAATTTGCCCCAGGGAAGATGTCGAGAGGTGGAGGCCCCGCGCCTCGACAAACATCGAGATGCCAGATGTATGGGAAGAGTCCCCTGGACATGTCGTCTGACACGACCCCTGCAGCCTCTAGGCAACCTCTTCAGAAAGTCTCGGGACGCACCCGAAAGGACACCACAACCTGCTGAAGCATCAGTATCAACAACCTTTGGCCCCAGACTGTTCCAAGGTCTCTCCCCTGGCCCCTCCTGGGCCCCAGTGTGGTCCAGGTCGGCGTGTCGTTCCTTATTCCCTTCCTTTCGGTTCCACTCTTCCGCTGCAAGTCGACCGCGTGTCGCGTGGCCATTGACTAATGGAACGGCCCCGATGAACGACGGACGCGGGGAGAGGGGCAGGAAGGAGAGGGACAACAAGTCGCACCCGCCCAGCGGCCCACGGCCGCGCAAGCACTGTGTTGGAAGATCTGCCGTGTTAAGCTCAGAGCACGGGGCTCCCGCGAGGGCGAGGCGCCCCACGAGTGGAGCACCTTCGGCACATCTCCCCAGCGCGCGGGGCGCCCACGGGGCGCCCGCCGGGCGGCACGGGCGGCAGCGTGTCGCAACCTCGGCATACCCCCCAGCGCACGGGGCGCCCACGGGCGGCAACGTGGCGCCACCTCGGCATACCCCCGAAGCGCGGGGCGCCCACGAGGTGGCACGGTCCACAACGTGCCAAAAAAGATGGAGTGACAACAAATTGTCTTAACGAAGAGAAGCAACAACCTCGAAGCGCAAGCCTTGTTTGGGGAATCTCTCTCTCTCTATATATATATATATATATATACACATCTGTGTACGTGTGTGTGCGTGTGTGTTGGTATTTTGGTGGTGTTGGTGGTGTGCACGGCCTCTGCTGCCCGAGGTGCTCAGAGGCGTCGGACAGCCCGGAGGACTTCCCGAGGCCGCCCCTGCCGGGCCCACCGCCCCGCCCGCGAGGCCCTGGGCAGTGCGCGCGATGCCGCGCGAGGTCGGGCGGGGCCCCCACGGCCCCGAGGCGCAGCGTCAGGGACTTTGTGCTTCTCGCGCCGTGCCGCCAGCTCTAGCCCACACCACCCCTGGGGTCTCGACGTTATCGAGCTGGGCGCTGTCGCCTGGGTTCGGGCCCCCAGGCCCTCGCATGTCGATCAAGCTCGGCAAAGGGTGCAGAAAGACCTGGTCGAGGGCTCGGGTCGTGATTCCTCACGATGCTGCAATTTTATCACAGATACCGGCGCCGCTGCTCGTCCTGGAGAGCCCTCGTCGCAATGGCTGGATTCTCATCGCAATTCTGGGAAGAACGCACCCCGGGAGAGGTCTGGGGAGGAGCGGTATCGGTGCGCTTTTATTGTCCAAACCGCGCTGCGGCGCAACACGTCAACCAGGTCTGGGTCCCCGAGCGTCAGCGTCCAGAGCCCTTTACGGCCCGCCCCGCGGAGCGGAGCGACACGCTCAACGCAAGTTCCCGGTCTTACTCCCTGCAGGGTCCGTTTCGGTCCGACTGGTCTGATTCGATATCGATCCCGGGATGCCAATATCCTGCTGCCTCCCGCAAGTCTCGCCACCGTGCCAGCCAAGGTTTCTGGGTGGCGACTGTTCGAGGGTCACGGGAGGTCGCCACGTGCGACACCCCGTGTCTGCAGGTTTGGGAGAGTTGTGATAATGATGATGATGCAGCTAATAACGATGATGTTGATGATGATGATGCTCATGCTGATGCTGATGCTGATGATGATGATGATGATGATGATGATGCTGATGATGATGATGACGATGATGACGATGATGATGATGATGATGATGATGATGATGATGATGATGATGATGATGATGATGATGATGATGATGATGATGATGATGATGACGCTGATGCTGATGCTGATGCTGCTGCTGATGCTGATGCTGATGATGATGAGGAGGAGGAGGAGGACGAGGAGGAGGATGAGGAGGATGAGGAGGATGAGGATGAGGATGAGGATGAGGATGAGGGGGTGACGATCGTGGCAAGGCGTGTCCAAAGACTAGTCACTCGAAAGCCCAATGGCCAGCGTGTTTTTTTTTGCGTCGGCGGCTACGCAGGGGCCGTCTGCGCTGGCGGAAGAAGCTAACTAAACGGGGGCACCGTTGTAGCGAATTTGCTATATGTAATGCAAGAGGAGGGGAGGAAGGAAGAGCGGGCGGCCGCGGGGATGGGGAAAAGGCGAGGGCCGCTCAGGGGGGACGGGTCACTCCCAGAGCGGCTGGCGCGGCCAGCGCCGCCGGCGGGGACAGAGGCGGCAGCTGCGCCAGGGTTCAGCGGCGGCGGGGCCCAGTACGGGTACCAGAACGAGTACAGCAAGTCGAGTGTCACGAAGCCGCGGCGGAGCACGAAGCGCAAGGCGGCGGGTCGCGCGTCGGCCAGGTGGGTGCGCAAACAGGTTCTGCAAGTAGAGCTGCGACAAGGGAGGAGCGTATCCACCAAAATGCTGGGCCAGCGTGGGGTGGCGGGCGGCAGGACCGGGCCCGGGAACCCCACCGTGGCGGCTGCAGGCAGCAGCACAGCGCCATCGCGGCGCGCGGAGGGCGGGAGAGCGGGCGAGGAAGGGATGAAGCGAACCGGGAGGAGGACGCCCCTCCTGTGGTGGGGTAGTCTGTCGTGAGCTTCACTCCATCTGGTGTGCCCGGGCAGCCTTTGACCATGAATCTAAGAACGTGGAAGGCTGCGGTAAAGCAGCTGGTGTGCGCCAGGATATGCCACTCGTGACCATGTCCCCGTGCCCACCTGCGCCTGCGGCTGGCGTCCCGCATCCAGTGTCGGAAGTCGTTTTGATGCTGCAGCGCCCATGCTCCCATGTAGATGGCCCGTCCGAGGAGCGCGGGCCTCGGGTGCTGTTGTTGGGCAGCGTGCTGTAGTATGACTGCTGCTGCCCTCCCCAGGGTCAATACCTGGGAGCGTGGTCGGCGAATCGGGTCCTGGTTCCAGTGGGCTTGGGCCCAGCGGGCCACCTTGCCCCGGCGAGCAGCCGCTTTTGCTTGTGTCGGGGAGGGGCCCCAGACGTCTTGCCTGACGTAAGCCAGGACCGTGACTGCTCTGGCGGCGGCCGCAGGGCATCTCGGGCATCCAGGTATCTGGAACCATGAACCATGAGCCAACCCCTGTTAGGATGTAGGTGGGAATCCAGGTGTGCCCAGCCGTGCCTATGGCAACGCGTCGTTGCGCCGTGAGGATGGCTTCGAGAGCCACCTCGTCCCCCTCCCGCTCTGGGTCCAGGAGCGCACTTAATCGGTGCAAGAACAGTGACATGGGGCTGCGCTCTCCCTGCAGACGGCGTTGCACCCAGGGTAAGGTGCTCCGTGCCGCAAAGAGAGCATCCGTGGGGTCCGTTTTCGCTTCCTCCCCCTGCCGCCTCGGGTCCGGGAGCGCACCGAGTCGGTGCAATCACACGGAGACGGGATTGAGCCCTTCCTGCTTCAACCGTCGCACCCAGGGTAAGGTGTTCCGTGACGCGGGGGGCCGTCCTGGGGTTGGCGTAAGAGGGGGGCGTCCAGGGCTCGGGGGAAGTTCTGCTTGTTCGCTCCCAGGAGGGTCCTCGGGGCCGTCCGTGGCGTCAGGGCTCCGTGGGGGACCGTCGCCTTGAGCGTCTGATGGAAGTGCCACCCTGAGATCCCCCCCGGTTGGGCTGCCGCTTTGATCGTCGCGGTCGCTGGCGAGGATGCGGCCGCTAAGCCCGTCTGGCTGGCTGGGGGCCCGACCCCCAGGGACTCCGGAGGGATGGTCGGTGTCGTGTGAAAGTTCGTTTGTGCCAGGTCGCTGGGGATGCGCGGTAGCCCCCAGGCTGCGCACATTCCCAGGACAGGACTGGCACCCCCGACCGCGAGTTTCACCACGCCCCACCCGATCGTCCAGATCTCCTGGCGGGGGGGTCCCAACCAGGTGCCGCCCCTCAGGGTCCATGAGCCTGGCTAGGCAGTGCACCGGGTGCAGCAGGGCGCAGGAGGCGGCGCCGGGGGGCGGCCAGCCGCGTGTGGCCCGCGCGCAGGGACGGGGCCCGCTTGCGTCGGGCGCCCCCTTGAGTGCGAGAGACCCCGAGGGGGGGCCCACTCGTGGCCTTGAGCCAGGGCTACGGACCAGCGTGGGAAAACAAGTAAACCGAAGTTTTGTCACATCAGGGCCAGCACGACGGAGGCAAGGGGCAGTGCATTGACGGCATCGCCATTGCTTTCATCATTTGGATGCATCCCTTCAGATGTGATAATGATGATGACGATGAGTGTGATGATGAGTGTAATGATGATGCTGATGATGATGATGATGATGATGATGATGATGATGATGGTGAGTGATGATCGCGACGGTGATGGTGATGATGATGGTGATCATCATGTTGAAGGCGGCGATGATGAATTTTATGATGGTGACGGTATATGGGAGGATGATGCTGATGATGACGGTGGCGACGTCGTCGACAATGGCGACGGCGATGACTTTGAGCAAGAGGATGACGATGGTGCTGGTGATGATGGCGATTTTGGTGGTGCTCACGATGGCGATGCGGGTGAGGATGAGGATGACGATGAAGATGGTGATTGTGACTGTAGTGGTGATGATGACGATGATGAATGCTGATGAGGATCCCGATTGTGATGATGCTTACTACGATGGTGACGAAGGTGATGGTGATGATCGTGATGATGATGGGGATTATGCCTATCATGCTGATGCTTTTGTTGGTGATGGTGGCGGTGGGGATGATGCAGATGACGACGACAACGACGTCGACAATGACGATGACGATGACGATGACGTTGACAACGATAATGATGATGCTGATGGTGACGTGTATGGCGATGCTCATGATGACGATGACGGTGTGGATGAGGATGAGGATGCGGATGATGATGGAGATGAGGATGGTGATGATCAGGGTGATGCGGGTTATGCGTATATGGGCTTTGTGATGATGTTGACGATGATCACCATCATGATGATGATTGCGATTGGGATTGAGATGATTGCGACGACGGCTATGATGATAATGGTGATGATATTGATGATGGTGGTGATGACGATGACGATGACGATGACGATGATGATGATGATGATGATGATGATGATGATGATGATGAGGATGAGGATGAGGATGATGAGGATGATGATGATGGTGATGGTGACGGTGACGGTGATTGTCATGATTATGCTGATGGTGACGACGGTGGCGATGACGCCTGTGTCGGCGGTAGCAATGATGATGGGGAAAATAAGGGTGAGGATAATGCTGATGGTGGTGATTATGGCAATGGTGATGATAATAATGGTGACTAAGACTGTGGCGATAGTGAGGATATACTGGTGATGACGGCGACGGCAGCGTCGACGATGACAATGACGATGACACTGAAAATGAGGATAGTGAAACCGATGTTGATGATGATTATGGTGAAGGTATTGGTAATGTTGATAGTGATAGTGGTGATGACGATGGCGATAACGTTGGGGATGAACGTGATGATGATGAGTATGATGATCATGATGATGCGGCTGCTGCTGATAAGATGGTGATGGTGATGATGGTGGTGATGATGGCGATGATGATCATGAATCTGCTGCTGTTGCGACTGCTCATTGTGATAACGATGATGCTGATAACGACGACGGCGACGATGATTATGATGTCGATGCTAATTGTGGTGATGATGATGATGCTGATGCTGATGCTGATGCTGATGCTGATGCTGCTGCTGCTGCTGATGATGATGATGATGATTATGATGATGATGAAGCAACCTTGTTGGGCCGTTGTGGGGCTGTCTTGGCCTTTTGTGAGGCGGTCTTGTGGGTTCCTTTGGTCCCTGTTGGTCCGTCCTGGGGCCCTCTTGGCCGTGTGGTGGGTGTCTGGGGGCCGTCGTGGGGCCGTCTTGGGTCCCACGGGAGGTCCTCTTGGGCAGCCTTGGGGCCGTCTTGGATGCTTCTGGGGCCATCGTGGAGTCCTCTTGGGCCGTTATCAGCTGACGGCAGCCCAGACTGCAAAAATCATTCAACAACCCAGTGGACATCAATGATTTTGGTTTCTTCGGGCCCTGTCGGAGGTCATCTTGTGGCCATTTATTTGGGGATGTCTTGGACGCATCTAGGGCCATCTTGAATCAATCTTCGGCCGCCTTGGGGCCATCTTGGGCCGTTTTCGATGCATCTCACTCCATATTGGTGTCCTTGGTTGTCTGCATGGGCCGTTTCGGAAGCTTGGGACGCGGATCAATCGTTTTTAACCAGGGATCTTTGCTGGAGAGGTTCTGGAACGCTTGGGAGCAGGGGGTGGGAATGAGGGAAGTGCGCGATCCTCGAGCGGTTGTTCGTGGGATGAGGGGCCTGGGGGTTAGCAGCCATGCGGGAAGTGCACAATCCTCGAGCGGGCGGGCATGAAATGAGGGTTCAGGCATGAGCTGCCATGCGGGAAGCGCACCATCCTCGAGCGATCACGCGTGGAGTGGGGGAGTCTGCGTCTGCTGCCATGTTGGAAGTGCACCATCCTCGGGTGGGCACGGAGGAAGTAACCTCGGTGAGCGGGGGGGATGAACGCGGAGAGAGAGGGGCGGCCCTTTCTTAGATTACGAAAACTCTACCAGGCAGACCTTGGCATTCTTTCATGCCTCAGCGTCGCAGGGGGCACGGTGGCGGATTTTCCGACGATCCGACCAGGCATGGTGCCTGCACGGCGCTGCGGCGCATCCTGGCGCGTCCGATCCAGTTCGTGGATCCGGGCTCCGTGCCGATGGCAGCCCGATCTCGGGGGCCCCCAGACGGTGCGGTGACCACGCCTCGTGGTCTGGTGAGTGAGTGGGGCGTGGGGTGACCGGATGGTTTTTGGTTGGGACTCGGGATGTTCTCCGGGGGCGTCTCGGGCAGCTGCCGCCTCCAGGGTCCCAGACAGCGTGCGGGGACGGACCGTGCGGTGCGGTCTTTCTGGGCATTTCGAAGTCAAGGCGCCTGGGGGCCCTCGCCAGGACTCGAGACCATGAAAAAATCACTCGGGTTGGAAAGCCAGCCTTGTGGAAAGGATCGAGACTTCAGGGACCGTGTCGTGAGACAAATCAAGACATCGCATGGCTCGGGCTTGCCTGTGAGGGTTCTGCTATATAATGTTTCTAGCGCCCGATGAGGGAGCCTGGGCCCCCGAAATCGGTGGCCCATCGTGGCCCCGCGTCGCGGCCCTCATCGAGGCCCCCCAGCGTGGTCCCCACTCGTGGCCCACCATCGTGCACCCCCACTCGTGGCCGTGTAAAGCTGTTGATGGTGCTCTTCCACACGGGTGGCATCTGTGAGAGGGTTGGGCCGTGGCCGACTCGAGGGAGGGCGCGGAGGAGGAGGGGCATGAGAGAATGAGAGCCATTGGCGGAGGTATGTTGGACGTGTAGGGTTGCATAGATAGACGTCGACCTGCTTCGTCAGCGGCTGGTAGTCCAACGTAGGTACAGTCTTCAGCCACGTAGGTACACCACGCACTCGAACCGAGTGACAAAAGCCATAAGCTCACGATCTGGGCTTCTTGGATAACAGGCACAGCACAACTGATGGCCGCTGTCCAACAATCGGTTGGACTACCAGCCGCTGACGAAGCAAGTCGACGTCTATCTATGCAACCCTGCACGTTGAACATACCTCCGGCAATGTCTCCCATTTCCTCATGCCCCCCCTCCCCTCCCTCCCTCCCTCCCCAGACCTCGCCAAACGTCGTGAGCCTTGTGCAGCGTGGACACCCTGAGCTCTCGACCGCTGGGCAGTTTTTGTTTACCGCGACCCTTTTTTGGGACGGTCCTGGGGCGGGCAGTCGACCTCCAGAGCGCAGAGGGACTGGCTGCAGCGGAACAACAACGGATCTCGAGGGGTCCTCCTCCTCCTCCTCCTCCTCCTCCTCCTCCTCCTCCTCCTCCTCTGCTCTTCGTCCTGGTCATCCTTCCTCGTCCTCGTCCTGTCCTCGTCCGCTCCTTAGGATGCAACTCCTTATGATGTCGATTCCGCCTGGCCCGATCCGATTCGATTTCGATATTCCGACGATCCGACCCGGCCCGATGTTTGCATGGCGTTGTTGTGAATCTTGGCGCGGCCGATCCGGTCCGATTGCGATTCCGTGCCGATGCAGCCCGATTCGACGCTCAAGTCGATTCGATCCGATTTACCGATTCGATGCTGACCGATCCTGCTGGGGCCTGCTCATGACTGGTCCGGTTCTGACGGAGACCTCCCAAGAATTTACCCCCTAACTCTCCTCGTCTTCTCCTTGCCCTCTTCCCCTCTGGCCTCGGGGAACAAAATTGGATTCCTGGCATAAGCATGCACGTTCGGAGGTCCGCGCGGGCATCCTGCATTGGCGCTGCGCCCCCCTCACCGGCTGCGCCCCCCCTCCCCCCGCGCGCGTCCCCCCCAGGGGCCCCAGCGCCAATTCGAGAGATCCACGCGGACCTCGGGCAGCTTATGCTTGTGCCACCGTTTGCTCCCCGATGCTCGCCCTCTCCTCCCCCACTTGCTCCCTACCCTCCCTCTCCTCTGCCGTCGGTGGCGAGCCCGGGAGAGAAGTGAGAAGGGCGGGCCTTCTCAGCAGGCGCAGATGTCCCCCGGCCGTCTGAGAATTTCTCTAAGCCTTCCCGGAAGGCACAAACAACTTCACATAAGACGCGAGAGATTATGAGAAGTCCCGCCGCCTTCTGAGAAGGCCTTCTCCTTCTCGCCTCCCCCCATCGCTCGCCGCCGATGCCCCCCCCCCCTGGCCGCAGGTTGCCGAGCAAGCCGAGCAGGGAGCAGGCCCAGGCGCCTTCCGGCGCGGCGGCGTGGGCGTCCATGGCAGCGAGCGTTGCGGCCTGGCGCGCCGCTGCGCACGCACCAGACGAGAAAGAGGTGCAGTCACGTCGCTGAGATGCCAGACCCCCTCGAGTCACGAAAAAATCACGACGGGAAGATTTTCGTTGTTTTCGGCCTCCAGGGGCCCCTAATCTCCAGGCCTCGGGGCCGTCAAACAACGACTCGGGATGAAGAACGGGTTCCGGGGAATGAGGTTAGACAATTGGGGGTCGACGTCACGAAAAATTCATGACGTCGGAGGTCTCGGTTTCGCCGATGCATCGCTGACGTGGCCGATGCATCGGCGATGCGCCGCGATCCTCCGACCCCATCTACTAGGACCGAATATAGGAGGCCTCGAGAGATAATGACCGCCTTGAAGCTCAGGAGGGGCTTTGGTTTTCGGGCCGTTCCCTTCCTTCCTTATCCAGCGTTCCCAGAGGTATCACTGTACCAATTCCGCTACCCATCCCTGGTCGCCACGGCTGGTTTCGCTTCAAAATCCGGGTCTGAATCCACCCCCGAAGAGGTTCAGGAGTAGCAGTATCAGTCTCTGGTACCCCCCAGCACACGGCAGGGCATGCGGCGGCGATCAGAGGATCGAGGTTGGAGAATCGACGAAATAGGTTGTCTTGTCATGTTTGGCCTTCGGAGGCCCGCTTCGGGCCCCGGGACCGTCAGAAATCGCTTGCCATGAAGCGAACGGGTCCAGAGGGAAACGGGTCCTGAGGGCTTCGGCCGGTTTTGGGGCTCCCGGGGCCCTCCACGGGCCCCGGGACTGTCAGAGAACTGCTCGGGACGGAGCGCTGCATGAGTGATCCTGGGGGAGGGCCCGGGGATCTAGGACCCGTTTCTCTCAGGACCCGCTTGCCCCGTGCCAACACACGGCAGGCTTGCACCGCGTCGATGCGGCGGCGGCCCTGGCGAGGGCGTTCAGGGTTAGCGCCAACGGCGGTCAGAGATCAGCAAACGTCCAGAGGTCTGCGCTGTCGGCGAGCCGCGATCGCCCAAGGCTGAGCTACGCACGCGGTGTCAGAAACCAGCGACGTGAACCCGCTCTACCCTTTCCGGCTGTTTCCGGAGGTCTTGAACCTTTCTCGGTTCCTCTGGAGGCCACCAGCGGCCATCGAGGGCACTTGCAGAGCCCCCCAGAGACCCTCGGAGACCCGAACAGCTGGCGGCTCGAAAGCATTTTCGGGCCTTGGGTGGCCCGTCTCGGGCCCCAGGAGCGCCGAGCACCGTCCCGTCATCCGTGGAAGGGGTCGAGAGGACCGTGGGCCCATGATGTCTCTAGCAGGGCGCGCCGCAGGACCGGTTGGGCTGCTCCGCCTCCTGTGCGGCCTTTCCCCCAGCCGCTAGCCTGCTCTTACCCTGCTCGGCGGGACCCGTGCCGGTGGCCGCGCGTCGCCGAGAAACGCCAGGTCCCCCCCTTGGTGGCGCGGGGATACCCGCGCTTCGCGCGTCGCGGCCGGGGCCGCTGAGCAGGCTTCCTCCGAGGGGCGGCGCGAGGGCTGGAAGAGAACCAGGCGTCGCGCATCGCGAGGCGCGATGTGCGAAATTGGGTGGCCTAACTACAGGTTCCCTTTCTGGGTTCACTGGAGTTCTGGCGAAATCCAACGCTCAAGTATGGGCCACTTTGGGTTCAGGAGAGGCCCTGGTTTTCGGGGCCGTTCGGGGATTTTCTTCGTGGCCGAGGCTCGCCGTGGTGAGAACATCCCCATCGGTCCGATCGGTCCCTGTTCAGCGTCCCTTCTGGTAGCACGATAGCTCAGGAACGTTTGCCGAGCTTGTTGCGCTGCTAGGTCTGGCCCACCACGCTTCGCCGCGACACGCTCAGCACGTCCACGCCACCAAGCGTCAACGTCCCGAGCCTTTCCCACCATCCCGTCCCGCGGCGAAGCGAAGCGACGCGCTATCAGCCTGCAAAGAATGGCGTGTCGCCGGTGCCGCCGCCGCGACACGCTCAGCAAACGTTCTGACTGTAGGATGCGCCAGAGGCGTTGGCGTCGTGCCGGCTCTCCCTCTGCGCCTTGTGCTGCGGCGCTTCCGGCCCTGCGGTGACGCCCAGCCCTGGCGGGCGCCTGCGGTGGGCTCTGGTCCTCAGCCCTAGGGCGGCACACCGGGCGGGCCCAGGGCCTTGCTTGATTCGCGCAGCCGCACTGGACGTTTGGGTCGCGTAGTGTCTTCAATTGCTCCAGCGGCCCTAGCCTGCAAAGGAGGAACAAATTGTCTGGGGACGATTCTCCCCCCAAAATTGAATTATTTTTGGATATTTTTAGTCTACTTTTAACTGGTCGTCCAAAATCCGCCTGTAGGGCAACATGCCCGAAATATCTGAATCTCCGCAGGGGGGGGGGGCACGTGTGGAGGCGTCTCGCCGATCTGGCGGCGCGTGCCGGCAGCGCTCAGTATGATGTTCTGGCTCGAGTTGGTCCAGACATGCGCCTCACTGTGGTGTGTTTTGGCTCGATGCTAGCCCTCGCTGTGCGTGCTTACACGTGTCCAGGTCGGGAGGAGGAGGAGCGGGGGACCGACGGGGCCAGGAGCCCGGGAGCGCTAGGCACCCAGAGGTGCCCACGGCCGCACACGCAGCCCCCGCGTGCGCCCCAGCTGCACCTGTGCGCCGGCAGCTTCCCGGCAGGCCACCGCGCAGGGGCGGCCCGGGCCAGAGAGCGGCTCGCAGGGGCGCGGAGGGAGGGGCGCGCCCCGCGTGTCGCGCGGTGCGCCTGCCGCGGGGGCCGGCGATGTCGCGTGTCTGGCGCGGTCGGAGCCCAGAGAGGCGATTGGGAGCAGCGAGGCGCGCACAACAAGAATCGCCTTCCGCACCCTTCGGTGCTCCCCTCCTTCCGCGGCAGCCTCGCGCTGCCTACTCCCGTTGCGATGCTGTTCCGCCAGGCTGCCTGCGAGCGCCCGGGACGCTTCGCCTGCCGCCACCTGCCCCTTTCCTCTCTGCCCTGTGGCCCCTTGGCGTGGCCTTGGGCGGTCGCCGCCACTTCCCTCTCTCTCTGCCAGCCCTCTGGCTGCGTTGCCACTTCCTTCTGGCTGCCCTGCGCTTCTTCCTCCCTGCGTTGCTGTTCCGCCCCGCCGCCTACGCTTCGCCCGCCGCCTCCCGCCCCACCTCTCCCGGCCCCTTGGCCACCTGGCCTTGGGCGGTCACGCCGCAGTACCCTTGTCACTGTCAGCCATCTGGCCGCTGCTCCTGCCTCCGCACGGCTCAGTGCTGTGCCTTCTCCTCGGTGCGCCACGGTACGCCGTTCGTGGTTCGTGGCGTCCCATTGCGCCCCCCGCCAGCGCCGCTGGCTGCTGCCCTCCCGCCACCCTTGCCACCGTGGTTCGCCACGGCCTTCCACCGCGCTCTGACCCATCGCGCCTGGCTGCTGCTGCCCCCCGGCTGCTCATCGTCGAACTCTTCGGCATCCGAGCGTTCGTTCTGCCTCTCAGCCGTCCCCCCCGTCTTCTTGCTCGCCGGCCAATTCGCTAGTTAGTGCCCCTATCTAGCTTCTCGCTGGAGCGGAGTTCGCCGCCTCGCTGCTGACGAAAAAAGTTTCCATGTGTCCAAGCCACCCAGGGCGGTATCTAACATGCTAGTCCCGAGCTGGAGCCGCGTGGTTTCACGTGCCCAGGGAGTCCAGGGAGATATCGACCATGGTGGTCCTGGGCTGGAACCACGATATCGAACATGGTGTTCCCGTGGCGACAACACAGCCGCCAGAACGACAAGCCCCCCAGCTCCTTAGAACAGAAGGGAAACCCCCTAAGTGCAAACACTGTTTGGGGAATATTTGGTGCATGGGGTGTCCATGATTTTGACCTCTTCGTGCCTTTCTGGATATCCTCTTGGAGGCCTGTTGGGCCGTCTTGGAACCCTCGTGTGGGCCAGGGGCCGTCTTGGACCGTCCTTGGGCCATCTTGACTGCATCTCGGCCCGTCTTGGAGACATGGTGGGCCAACTTGGGTACTCTTGGGACCATTTCTGCCGTCTTGGATGCATCTTGGAGGCCATGTTGGCCGTCCAGGAGGCGAGTTACTTGTACTTGCTCCATCCTTCCCCGGTTTTTCCCGGTCCTTCCGTGTGGTTTGTGCGATCGGCCGAGCCCCTACTGGGAACTTGCATGCAGGACCAACACTTGTCCAACAGCTGGCACGCCGTGCACCCCTGTGGCAGTACAGCGGACGGCAGATATCGAAGACGCCTACGGTGAATCACCGCCGCCCCTGCATTTTAGGATGCGCCGATGTGGCCAAATCATTGGGGCAAGGCTTTGCGACGCTAGTTTTTGGACCATGCGCCCCCCCAGTCAATGTGGAAGCCGTTCGGGGGACACGTGAGGTAGGAAGAAGAGGATGAGGAGAGGGAGGGAAAGGGATGATGAGAAGAAGGATGAGGAGACCTCTTGGGAGGTTCTGGGGTCATTTGGGGGGCCTCCCGTCTCGGAGGCCTGTTGGGGGCCTCCCCTTTGCGCAACCATTGCGATGGCATCATAATGTTTTTTCTCGCCAGCCGTGGGTGCGACGGAAGACGCCATGTGTACAACCAGCTCTGGAATGACGATGTCGACCTATCCTTTCGGAGGACACCTACAGTCGCGAGGCTGTTGGAGGGGGCAGGTCGACAGCCCAGAGATATGGTTTAGTGCGAAGCATGTTGCACAAAGCCTTTCTCGGACAGGCCCAAGTCGAAGAATTGGACGTGCGAGTGTGTAGCGAAGTTTCCTGACCAGCCTCTTGTGACTGGCCGTCGCCCTTATCGTGGTGCTGGCCATCATCGTGCGACGGAGTCAACTCTTCAGGTTGGAGCAGGTCAAGCAGCTGGCAGCCGACATGTGTGGATCCGAGAACGGTTTGCATCGAGACACAGTGTTGGCGGCGCAGGGCCTGCTGGCGGTGATGTCAAAGCCAGCAGCAGCAGCAACAACAGTGTCACCAGTCAGGAGCTCCAGCAGCTCGCCTCTCCTTTGCGAGGAAGGCTGAGGACAAGGCCAAGATGGCCTGGGTCAGAGCTAAGAAAGAACTTGAGAGGTGCGAGCGTCTCCTTCGAGAGACGACGGAGGAAGTGGTCGAGGCAGAGAAGGCGGAGGTCGAGACGGCCAAACGCTTCCTGCCCAAGGACGCCATCCCAGAGCCAGGGGGTCCAGCGATCCTCGATGCGCAGCAGGTTCTGGCGGGCAATATTGATCTCAAGGTCTCTTTCGGCAAAGAATTTGATGATGTGCAGCTCAATCACCCTGACACGGACACCTTGGAGAGGGCACAGGCCTCGCTTCAGGAGGTGCTTCCCAAAGCGGTGCAGGAGAGCTATGGCACCATCGCGGCCAAGCTCCAGGAGTGCCAGGAGGGTGCGGCAGTTGTGGAGCGCGAGGGCAATAAAAGGAAAGGCAATGACGGAGGTTCGGTCGACCGGCCGCCACAGCCAGCTGCTGTGGTTCCTGGACAGCCAGCGGCGGCTTCAGCTCCACCGCCTGCTGCAAGTGGTGGGGCCTGTGGCGCGGCAGGTGGACCCTACGCGGAACCGCCTTCGGCTACTGCAGCTCCAGCAGTTGACGAGGCCACCGTGCGGTTGCAGGCTAAGTTCGGAGCGATGGTCAGCGGCATTCGGAATGAGGCGAAGAAGCATCTTTGACGGACAGTGTACTAGCGATGACAATCTGATTTCATTATATCTGCGTAGTTTGTCCGGCTGGGGCCTGCCTGCGAGTAGAAATCTCTCGAAAGAGGCCCGGCATGATTTTGTCATCTTTCCTGGATTGTATTTGCTCGCAGCCGATTGTGTCGAAGTCCGACACGATTGGAGCAAGTTTGGATACCAACCAGTCTTAGCACCTGGTTACGCCACCAAGAAACCCGGCTTGGGAGTTAGGAGAAGATTTCAATGCCAGACGTTCAGGCACTTAGCATCGAAGCCCTGGTATCAATTCTGATTGAGGGATATTGAGAAACCAGGATGGGCACGGATTTCACGGGCTGGATTGGGGCGCGGCCCAAAGTCGGAGGCCAAGCAGTTTCAATCTTTGAGATATACATCGTAGGTGGCACAGGCACCAAGGGAAATAATATCACAAAATTCATCCAGTTATGCACCCTCTTACAGTCCATCAAAACGCCTTGGTTGGTGATCGGTGGTTTTAATGCCACGCCCAGGAATTGGAACGGCCAGGGTGGCCTACAGTGGTTGAGGGTCTGATCAGAGTAGGTGAAGGAGCAGATTTCACATGCGCTGCAAGGTCCAAGAGGCAGAGATTGACGACGAATCCTGTTTTGGTGCGGAGAAAATTAATCCCCGCACCCATGTCTTTTTGAAGCTCCAGTTGCAGCAGACGATGAGGACAGTGTTTTCACTGCCCCAGATATACAAGTTTCCGCCCAGGCCAAAGGTCCAAAAAAGGCACGTCCGGCAAAAGATCCAGGACACCAGCCTCGGCGAGGGAGCGAGAGCAGCAGGGCCCGCCAGCCAGCCCGTCGTCCTCAGCAAACTTGTCCAGAGCATCCCCACACGGAAGTCACGCATCTTGTTCAAATCGACTGCGCCGCTGCACCGCTTATGGAACTTGGGTTGGGGCATCGAGGACCCGACTCAGACCGGCGCGGACCGCGCGCCCCCAGTGGGGAGATTGCCCCAGACATCGAGCGAGACGCCAGCCCTGAGGATCTCGGCCGCCAGGAGCTTGGCTCCGGGCGCTTCGGAAGGGGAGGCAGCGTCTTTCTTGGAATAGGGAAGGGGGAATAACCAATCCGTGTCCCCAATCCGTAGGCGTATGAGGACACCACGCAGCTCGCAGAGCTGCGGCGACCGTTGTGTGGCGGTCCCCACTTATGGTACGCGACACATGCAATTACGTAAATATGTAATGTAGTCCCACATATACGTAGACTGTGTACCCGGAGAATAGAAGACACCAGCCCAAAGAAGAACTGAAGCACAACATAATCCAATTGTTGACACATGCGACCCAAATAATAACCCCGGGGGCGCCGCGCGAAGACGAGGGCGCGCCGCTGCTGCCCAGGAGGGCCGCGGACAGCCAGAGTGCGTCGCGGGGCGCCCCTGGCGGCGCCCGCGAAGCGCGGCGCGCCGCCGAGAGATTCGCGGCGGACGCGTCCGCGTGAGCATTCTCCAGCTCGACGAGAGAGCATTCAGGAGGGGAAGAAACACACAGACACAATCAATCGTCGACTCCCAGGAAAATGTGGGAAAAGAAGGGAAGTGGTGGGGGGGCAGAAGCCCGGGAAATATGGGAAAATACGGGGTATTTTTTTATTTGTGTGTATTTATTTGTGTGTCCCAGGGCCCCTTCAAGCATGGGCGGTCGCGGGCAGAGTTTTTGCAGATTGGACCAGCGGATGGGGGCCCTGTTCCTCGCCGCCCACCAAACCGCCCCAACCCAAGCCGAAGGCTGAGATTTGCCTTCGATTTCCAGTGGGGGGGGGGTCGGGAAGCACAGAAAAAAACACGTGTGGAACCCTTGCCCCCCCCAACCCGAAATTCGGGTCTTCGGGTTGGGTTGGCGTGGTCTGGTAGGTAGTCAGTTCCCCGCGCGCTCTCGGCCATCCGCCCGAGGGGCCGCGCGAAGCATCGCGGGGGAGGGGGGGGGGGGCTGGGGGAGCTTCAGAGAAGCCCGAGGCCCAGGGTGCCCACGTTGTGTCTTCTCGGGATCGCGTCGGCGGCCCCCGGTAAACTTTTTGATGCCTGATTAAACTGGCGAGCTTCACGTCGAGAGCTCTCTCGGGAGTCTGAAACTTCTCGAAGGGCTGAGGGGCGCGGCCGCCACGGTTCCAGCGTCTCCGCCGTTGCCCCCGATTCCCATGGCAAGGTCTATGTGGGCTCGGGCTCGTCGGCTCTTCGCGCGGCCGGCGAACAGACAGGTGATCCGTTTAAAAGTTGAGTTAAACGTGCTTTCCAAATTCGGCAAGGGCCCAGGGGGCCCCGCGCGCGAGCCCAGGCAAATCTCACTCCTGGGTTTTGGATCAAGACCGTCGAGGTGGCAAAGGTGCTGCGTGACATGTTCGAAGAAAGGGGGCCGCGCGGGGAGTTGAGCGCCGCGCGGGGGGGGGGGGGGGCTGCCGTTGATTCCTGCTAGAGAATGGAGGCCAGGGTCTGGTCTCTTAAATGGATGGGGGGGGGGGGGGGGGGCGGGGGGGGCATCGCGTTTGCCTCGGCCAGGGTTCTCTGGCGGAGAGCGCAGACGTTAGCGAAAGAGAAGCGAAGCGAGCCAGTCGCGGTTGAGTTCCTGCAGCGTTTGATTTCGGCCTTGCCCGATAAAACTCTTGGAGCGGGCCAGGTGCCCACGCGTTTTTGCCCTGCTGGCTGCCGCTGGCGGGCTTGCAGGGCCTGGCGGACCTGCTCAGCGCTGCTGAGACGCACGTCTGCTGGCCATTGCAGGTCCTCGCCGCCCCGTCCAGGTCAAGGGTGCGAAGTCGGGCCGAGCTATGGGATTGCTGGCCTGGCCAGTCCGGTTCTGGCGCCGAGTCAGGACATCGGACGGATCCCCTTGGGCTCGGCAGAGAGCGGGCTTGCGGGGCACGGCCTTCGAAGGGTCGCTGGCGCCAGGGGTAGCTCTTCTCCGGCTTCTTCGCGGCGAAGAAGCGGCCCAGTCCAGGCTGGATGATGCCCAGGGCAGTGGTCTCCTCTGGGGCGCACAGGGGTTCGACGACGGTCTCAGACGGGACCTGATCTTGAATGAGGCCCTGGATCGGCATTTATCTCCGCGCCACTTGGCCCTAGAGCTCCAGGCCCACACGACGGTTCGATCCTTGCGGGTGAGTGCTGGGTGATCGCCGCCTGTGCATCCTGAGCCCTCGTTGATTCCTGGGGGTAGTGAAAGCTGTGGACCTGGGGCGAGCGGCCCTTCGCACCTGTGCTGATCTGGCCGCGGGGGCGCCGGGGGCTCCAACCTTGCGCGCGTGGGTAGATGACATTGCGCAGTCGACGCATGGCGCTAGTAGGTTTGTCTTGCAGTAGCTTTCGCAGGCAGGAATCAGCTTGGCGCGGCATCTTGAGGAGACCCATCTCTCAGTTGCTATCAAGTCCTGCATATTCTGCTCGCGCGCGCGCGTCTCGCACATCAGCTCCGCAGCTTTTTTCGCGGCGAGGGTGTAGAGGTACAGGTCGAGCTTGTCGCTGCAGACGCAGGCATCCATGGGGGCAGAGTTGCAGCTTCGGGGCCGAAGCCGCCTTCGATGAGGCAAGCCGCGCGGCAGAGATTTACCGAATTCACCAAGCCAGTGAGAGGTTCCACGTTTTGCAAGCGCTGGGCCAGGAGGATGGCCATGACGGCTGCCATGGTCAAGGCGAGGTATTCAGATGCGCGCGCGGTGCCGCCCCCCGCGTCGTCCGCGGGTTAAGGAGGTCGCCTGGCCGTCTGTCGGGGGGCATCGCTAAGGGGGGGAGGTGCCTCGCAACACTTGTGGCTTGAATGCGGCGGGAGGAGTCCTGCCTTCGCTGCCATGTTCGACGCGGCCAAAGCCGGGCTCTCGACTTTCATGCGGCGTTGGGGGCTGGAGAGAATTCGAGAGACGGACCCTTCGCATTGGCGGAAGAGCGTTGCGACGTCAGCTTCTGCGACGATTGCCATTCTTCTCGGCGTGGGTTGGGGGCCGTGGCATCAGCGGGCTTGGGGGGGGCGATTTGGGCCAAAGGTTTGCGATCTCGGCTGCGAATTTGGGCGAGAGGCAGGTCGATTTGGCCAGCCTCCGAGATGCTGTAGCTGCCAGTAAGAAGAGACAGCTTTGGCAAGCTGCAGCGGTGAATTCATGGAGTGGCAAAGGCTGAAAGAAAGTTCCTGATCTATTTGAGTTTCAGCGCCAGCTCAGGTGGCATGCCAAGAAAGGAGAGCGCACCTGGGTTGGGATTCCCCGGTCCGTCGCCATGGGCAATAGCTGGCCGAATGGCCGATTTGTCGAGCGCGGCCTCTCTCGGGGCAGCACCTGCAAGAGATGCGGGTTCGAGTTTGATGAATGAAATGTGCACCGCGCGTGGGGCTGTCCAGAGAATGATCAGTTCAGTGAGGTTTCAGATTTTGTCGTCGATCGTGCAAGGGCAGATTCGGAGATCAATGCCAGCTTCTGGCTTCGAGGGCCGAAGCCAAGCACGCGGGCCGCCGCCCCTCCGCCCGCCGAGGGCGCCGGTTTCAGGGGGCTCGGCGAGGACCCCGAGAGGGCTCTCAGCGAGGGCTTCATGCGCGGCGGGGGGGGCGCGAGGGGTGGCCCCGACACGCGGGGCCCCTCCTTGACGAGAGTTCCCTGGGCGCGGGTGGTCATGTGAGGTCTGGGTGGCGATTGTAGTTTTCGCCTGCAGGACCTCAGCGCCCACGCAGTAGAGTTCGGCCATGTCCCAGGGCGGTGGCAGTTTGTCAACCGGGGGGGAGCTTTCAGTTTCCTTGGTTCCTGGAAGCAGCGTTCCCGACCAGCAGGCCTCGCGTTGTCGCGGATTCGCCCCGTGTAACCAGTATCTCTGCTAAAGTCCAGAGCGGTTTTACCCGGGGTCGCATTTAGATCTTTGACAGGAAGTCGGAGGGATCTTGTCGCGGCTTCCAGGGAGAGGATTCACGCTTGTGGAGGCCGAGAGACATCGTGACAACAGTAGGGCGTGCCGCAGTGGCCCAGACCAAATGAATTCCCCCGTCGATGGAGTTTCGGATGTTGTAACCGATTTGCGGGCTGTGCACTTGCGCTTTGACGCAAAGGACAGAGACAGCATATCCTATGCCCAGACCATCGCCCTCCAAGTCCGAAGGCGTCTGAGGCGCTCTCTACTCGCCAGTATCGAGGCTGAGGGGGGTCGTACCCAGCAGAATATGACACTTTTAGTGTGAACTCGGGTGGTGAACGACCGGTTGCTTCGGACTCACCGCGCACCGAATGAGCAGCTCAGCTCCCGCGTGTCTTGCAGTGTGCGCGAAGGATCAGCACCTCTCAGACTTGCAGACAAGTTTCGACAACCACCGTGCCACAGCGGTCTGTTGGACGGGGCTGCGATGACCCCACAGTCACCGACCGTCAATGTTCGAGAGTTGCATCCCAGCCACATTTTAGGCTACAGCAAAGAATGGGGCAGTACTGTTTGTTTCGGTTGCGCGGTGCGTGGCCACCCAAGCTGCGCGCAACTTCGGAAAGCAGTGTTCGAATGCAGTTGGCCATTACGGTGGGCGATAGCTCGCCATGCTCGCCCGAGACGAACCACCTGGCACGAGCAAGCTTGCTTAAAATCAACTACAGACGAAGAAAGTGCTGAAGTAGCATTAGAGTTACAGACACGCCATTGGCAGGAGAGAGCAAAAAGGCCTGCTGGGGGCCTGCTTGGGCCTCTTGGGAGCCTCTGGAAACTTATTGGAGGCTTTGTTGGCCGTCTTGCGTTCCTGACCTATCTGACGCCGTCGGAAGCCGTAGTGGTGGCATTCTTTGGGCGGACTTGGTGTTTTCTTTGGGCGCACCAGGGCCGTCTTGGAGGCCATCCTGGTTTGGGGCCTTTTTGGGGTCGTCTTGGGAGCCTCTTGGGCCGTCCTGGTGCCCTCTTGGAGGCCTCCTAGCCGGTCTCGAGGCAATCTTGGCTTTTTTTGTCGGGCCGTCTTGGGCCGTCGGAAGGCAGGCTCGCAACAGCTGTCAGAATCAAGAAATCCAGAGCCACCATATACAAATCAATGTTGTTTGCCTCTTCGGGTCTTCCTTGAGGACCTCCTGGAAGCCTCTCTGGACCGTCTCAGGGGCCTCTGGGGCGTTTCTTGGGCCGTCTTGGGCTCTCGTGGACCATCTTGGCGATCTAGGAGGCATCTTGGAACCATTTTGGAGGGCATCATGGGGCTGTCTTGGGCCGTCTTGAGGCCATCTTGGCAGTCTGGGAGGCGTCTTGGGACCAAATTGGAGGCCATCTTGGGCCGTCTTGGCTGTGTCGGAGGCCATCTTAGGGACATCTGGAGCGAAAAGGCCGATGACCCGGGAATTTTCGGGGGCCGTTCGGGTGGCCGGCGGGCTGGGCCGAAGCCCCAGGGGTAGGCGTTCTTTAGAAAAGAACGAAAACCTCAGAGAAGTTTGGCACGCCGTGCACCCCTGTGGCAAGCACCACGGGGGCGGAGGCTCTAGTCGCCTTCGGCCCATCCGGCCATCGTGCTTGGGTTGTAGGTCAGAGGCTTCTTGGATGCCTGTGGGGATCTCCTGGGAGGCCTCTAGAAAGTTATCTGGAGGCAGTGCTGGGGTGTATTGGGGGCCTCCACGGGGTATCTCGGAGGCCTCGTGGAGGCCTCCTGGGGCTTGAGCTGGGCCTCCTGTGGGCCTCCTGGGGCTTCTGAATTTCTGGGGGGGGCACTTTCGGGTTGATGCTCCAGTCAAGTTTGCTTAGTAGAATGACCCTGCCGAATCGAGAGTACCCCTGTCCTGTGTTTAGCGGCCCACGCTTTCACATTCATATGGCAATGTGGCCCTCGGAAGGGTATTGTGTCCTTGCGCGTGTCCTCTTCAATCCACTCCGATTGCATTTCGGCTCAAGCATTTACCAGGGGTTGTTCCTGCACGACATCCAGGGCCGAGGTCTGAGCCCCGCGGCAGCATGGCGGCGCGCAGGGCGGTATGGCTCGCCGTCCTCGGCGCCGTGGCGCCGGCGACGGCCGAGACCCAGGCCTCGGGGGTCGCCAAAGGTGCCCCTGGCCCAGGGTGCCCTTAGCTTTTCGCTCCCCTTTAGGGCCCCCCCTCGGGCCTCGCGAGGGGTGCTCTTGGAGGCCGTGGGGGCCGCCTCGGAAATCCTCGGGGGCACCTCGGGCCAGGGGGGCGCCCGGCAGGTCGACGGAAGTGGGACGACGAACCCGTCCAAGTTCTTCTGGCAGATCATGGAGACGATGCAGGCGCGCGCCAAGGATCGAGGGGCAGAAGCACACCGACCATCACCAGGATATCGCGGAAGCTTGTGGGCGCCCCGGTCATGGTCCATGCCCTGCCCGCCGTCGCAGGCTCGCGAGGGTGACCCACGGAAGCGACGCCGACCAGGATGGACCGTGATGACGCAACATCGACGCGACGTTTCCGCGTGCAGTCTTGGTCGTGGCTTTTGTGCTCTCTTCCCCTCCCAAAGGAGGAGATCCGCCTGACGTACCGCGCCGTCGGCAGCAGCAACGGTCAGAGGGAGTTCAGCTCGGGCTCTGAGGCTCTCAGGTGCAACGCGATGGGAGGGATAGGCTCAGGAGCGGATGCATCGACCCCCAATCGCCCATCCATCGCCGATAGGGGCCCGTTAGGCCCACCCCGCCCACGAGAGCGCGGATTCGCCATGATCCGGGGGCGCATCGCTGATCAGAAGGCGATGCATTGCCGACTCCAGGTCGATGTCTCCCCCCCCTGATCTGCCCTTCCCCCCTAGCGTTGCCCCTCGTGAGGCCCTGGCAGAGGCCGGCGACTACAGTGGATCCGTCAACGACTTCGGTGCGGGCGACATCCCGATGAGCCAGACGCGTTTCGATGGGATGACCAGCTCTGGCCGGGAGATGCTCCACGTGCCGTTCTGCCTGGGAGCCATCGGCGTCTTCCACAACATCCCAGCGGCCGAGGTCGGCAACGATGGCCTGAGGTTGTCGCCGAGCGTGCTTGCCAAGATCTTCGCCGGTACCATCACGACCTGGGACCACGCTGATATTGCCGCCGACAATGAGAATCTGAACGTGCCCGCGAGCCGCAAGATCACGGTTTGCCATCGCTCAGATGGCTCCAGCAGCACCACTGGCTTCACTGGCTATCTGGAAAGCAAGGCTTCCTCAGATTGGGACCTCGGATCCGGCAGCACGGTTGACTGGAATGAAGGGGACAATTTCCAGGCTAATGAGGGCTCGCCTGGCGTAACCGATTGTATCCATGATCACGCATATTCCATCGGCTATCTTGACGCTGGCCACGGACACAATCGTGATTTCCAGGAGGTCATGCTGCAAAACGAGGAGGGCACTTGGCTAACCTCATTGGATGCTATCGAGTACGCGGATGAGAATGGCGAGAACGGAGTCGCTGCCGCCGCCGCGGCGCAGACGAACACGCCAGGCGCCGATGAGAGTTGGGCTGATATTAACCTCTACGCGAGGGGTGGAGTGATGACCTGGCCCATCGTGCTCATCTCGTACATCTTCGAGGAGCAAAGAACGACATTAGCATACACTTGCGGAGATTCGCGCGGATTTCTTGTCTTGGCGCTGGAGCCCCCTGTCGGTGCCTCCGGCGCCGCCCCTGTCGCGCTCCCCGCGCCAGGGAGGGGGGTCGCTGCGCCGATCCAAGAATGCCGCGCCGAGCTCCTAACTTTTATGTCAATGCCATTGTTTGTGCCTCGACGTCTACCTCAAGAAGGACATGAGCGCCATGGACGGGCAGAAGGTCCAACTCCTCATTGCGTTCGTGGACATGGCCCTGAGCCAGGGTGCTCCAGATCCGCGCGGGTCGACTTTCGATCCCGATCTTGCGGACCGCATGCTGGGATCCAGGTCTCAATCGGCGGTCGATCCGCGGATCTGGTTTTCATCGAAGAAGACAACGGCAGAACCATGAATGTGGGCGTCGTGCCTGTTTTTTGCGTGTACCCATTTCGGCCTTGTGCGCTGGCGCCTGGAAGCCTGGAAGCCCGACGCCACGCCGCTCAAGGCACGATGCCCCGCCGCCCGAGCCGGAAGCCGGGCGACGCGAGCCCCGGCGGAAGCCCTACGACCATGCGCTCGGGTTCGCCCTGGCCTTCATCGAAGAAGAGAAACGGCATACACAGAAGCTTCTGGAGCTCCTCGAGGAGCCTTTGGATCTGCCCCGGAGCGCGCGGGCAAAGGACATGATGTCCGCATCCGCGGCCTCGCGGGTCGGGGCCTTGGGCCGCGACCCCGCGCATACGGGGCGTTTTTTTCTCGGATGCCCCGCGCGGAACGCGTCCGTGCGACCGCGCATCCGCCGAGCCGCGCCCCGGAATCCAGGCCGCGAGGGCGCGGAGAGAGGGATTCGGCACGCCGCCCGTGTGCGAGGAGCCCCCTGGCCGCGCCTCTGGCGCCGCCCCCCCGGCGCGGCTACTCGTGGCCCGCGGGTGGTCTTCCAGAGCTGCGGCCGAGCGCCTCGGCGTGCCCAGCCGAGGGGGCACGTGCACGCGGGCACGCGCGCCGAGCGCGGGGCGGCCGCGCCGTCCCCCGAGGGCGCGGGCAGAGGCGCGGAGGCGCTGGCGACCTGCAGGTTCAGCGCCTGCTGCGGCGCGCGCGGGGGCCCTCGCTGCAGCGCCCGTCCGGGAAGCCCGCGCTGGCCTCCGACGTTCTGCGTGTCCTGTTGTCTGGCCTTCTGCCATGCACGGTCGGGAGCTCCTGCCTACGGCGCGGTCGCCGCGGCGGCCCTGGCGACACGCTGTGCCCTGCGAGCGGATGGCGGGTTGCTCCGCTCCGCGGAGAGCCCCGACCGTGAGGGCTGGCAGGGCCTCGGGCGCAAGGCCTGGGCCCCCCCAGGGGAGGCCCTGCGACCGCGAGGTTTTGGGAGGGCCACCGCCGCCCGCGAGGCTCTGGGGGTGCGCACGCCGCGAGGCTCCGGGGGTGCGCACGCCGCGGGGCCTGGGGCCTCCAGAACCTGCGGCCCCGGCGTCGCTTTTCTCCACAACGGGCGGTCTTGCCCTGTCTCGGGCCCCACGGGGACCCTCACGGATCGACCTTGCTCGAACAGTGCCGCAGCAGGCTAGGGGTTTGGGGCTCGGGTCTAGTTCTTCTACGATGTTTCATTTTCTCGTGACGTTGGGTCGTACGGGAGCCCTCTGAGGCTTTGAGGCCTCACGGTGGGCACTCCCGGTTGCCTCGTCGGTTCCCCCCCTCCCTCTCGGGAGCCTCACTGCCGGCTGAGGTACCCTAAGCCCTTTAGCTCCCAGGACCCTTCCCGCTCCAGGCCACACGGTGGGGCCACCTCCAGCATCGGGGCGGGGGCCTCCTTGGGTCTCTGAAGCCCTCGTCAGGTGCATGGTGCCCCTCCGCCTCTCCCTCCGCCTATTGGTGGTGCCCCCCCCCTCCCCCCGGAAGCCTCACAGCGGGGGTCTTTTAAAGCTTCATAGGCCCTCTGACGCCTCACAGTGGGCTCCTCTCAGGGCTTTTTGATGTCTCTCTCCCCGAAGCCTCGTGCCCCCCCCCCACCCCCCCCTCCCCGCAGGGCCTCCTGGAGGCTCCCACCCCCGGAGCCTCACGGCCGGGGCCCTCTGCAGACTCCGTCCCGCCGGCTCCACGTTGCTCTCTCCCCCCCCCACCCAGCGAGGCTTCGCGCCGGGCGCCCCTGCCCCCTCGCCCCAGCCCCCGCGCTCGCCGGTGCCTCTCGTCGACCCCCCCACCCCCTTCCAGATTCCGGGTGGTCGCAAGGAGCTCACGCATTCTCTGATGCCTCGCGCTGGACCCGCCTGCAGAGTTTGCCGGTGGACCCCCTTCGCACCCCCCAGCCCAGACCGACACGGCGGCTTCCAGGAAGACTGCTCTCTGAAGCTTCCCCCGTGCTCCGCCCCAGGGCCCCAGGGCCTGGGGCCTCGGAAGCCTCTCGGGGGGGGGCGGCCCTCCGGAGCATCACAGTGGACGCCCTCTGAAGCTTCCCCGCGTGATTGGGCTCTCCGTGTCATTCTAGTCGGGGCCTTCCGAGGCTTCCCAGAAGGGGCCCTCCGAAGCTTCTCGGTGGGGTCTTCCGATGGCTCACCGCAAAGCTCCCCGACGGTGGGGGCCGTCCGAAGAGTTCAGTCCTCTGAACCTTGCTGGCGGGGACCCTCGGAAGCCTGAAAGTTGGAGTCCCCAGACAGCGCCGCAGACCACGCCCAAAAGACGTCGGGACAGCGTCACGCCATACCGCGCCCTGACAACGTGCAGGACGGTGCCCAGACCGCGCCTGGACAACGCCCCAGACAACGCCCAGACCAATCCCTGACCACTCGCGCTCCGGGCGTACTCCCTCACGGGGCTCTCCCGAACCGTCCAGGAGCCTGCCCCCATAATGGAGTCTACGGGGCCCGTCCAGGCCACCCGCCGATCCGCCAGATCGGTCGACCCGACGCTGCGGATCTGCGCTCTGAGTCTGACGTGGTCGAACCGACAGACTGGTGTCCGTGTCCCCGGTAGGGCTGCGGATCGGATCCCCAGTCGGGCTCCGGCGCGAGCGTGAGTGACGGATCGAGGTCCAGATCGATCCCGTCGGATGAGGATCGGGCCCCAGATTGGCGCGGACCGAGGGGTGCAGCTAAGGTCCTGAGTGATGAGGGCCAGGCGCTGCTGCCGGATTACTCGTTCAACGCGGTTCCGGCAGTTTGGTCGCAAAAGTGGTTTTTGGAAACCACTGGAACCAGAGCCATGATAAGTTTGCCCGCGGTGTCCGGAACGACTTACACGATGGAGGGAGAAGAGACGGATAAGTGGACAGGCATGGGCGAGAGCGTCATCAGCTCAAAGCGCAACTCGTACTCGCTGTGGAAGCTAGGCGAGATAGACATAGCCATGACGAAGATGGAAGCTCGCGTGGCGGCCCTGGAGACGACGCTCAACGACTTCGGCATCGTGGCGCTCCACGGAAGTGGCACCACCAACCCGAAGAATTGGTTCGCCAAGGCTATGAAGCTATTGGAGACGAGGGCGCGCGCGCCCCTCCACCTCACCTACCGCGCGGTCGGCAGCAGCACAGGCCAGGCGGAGTTCGTCGGCACCAGCGACAACGGCTACCAGAGCTACAACCATTTTGGGGCGGGCGACATCCCGATGACGCAGACGAACTACGACCAACTCATGGTCACGGCGGGCAATGAGATGGTTCACTTGCCATTTGCGTTGGGAGCCATTGGCATCTTCCACAACGTCCCAGCGAGCGTTCGCGGCAACACGGACATCAAGCTTACCGCATGCCTCCTGGCCAAAATTTTCGACGGTGACATCACCACTTGGGACGATGCGGAGATCAAGGCTTTGAACTCGGACCTGAAACCGCCAGCAGGCCAAAAGATCATGGTCGGTCACCGCACGCTTGGCTCCAGCAGCACTGGTGGCCTTACTGGTTACCTCAAGAAGAGTTGTTTGCCGTCGTGGCCGCGCGGTGAGGGATCAACAATCGATTGGCCAGATGCCGCGTCGGGGCACGACAACTTCGTTCCTGTTCAGGGATCCCAGGGCATGCAGACGCACATCGATGGCACAGAGTATTCAATCGGCTACCTTGATGCTGGCCATGGGATCGACCTGAATTTTGCGGAGATCGCCCTGGAGAATGCTGATGGGTTTACTCGCACCTCCAAAGAATCCCTTGCGGCAGACCCGAACGGCGTGGCCAAAGCAGGCAGCCAGGGCGTCTTAGAAGGTAACTTCCCTGCAGACGCCAGCGCCGACTGGAGTTCGGCGAACATCCTCAACATGAACGGCGAAACAACGTGGCCTATCTCTCTTGTCAGCTACCTGTACGTGAAGAAGGACCAGCAAAGCACTAATCCCAAGACCGCGGCGGCCTTGAAGGCTTTCATCGACTTCATCTTGGAAGACCCCGACGGCCTCCTCGAGGAGTTCGGCTTCACTTCGCCGGACTCGGAGCTGAAGGCCCTAGCCTCGACTGGGGCGGGCACCATCGTGTGGCCGGCCGGCATGGAGGAGTTCATTTTCGAGGAGTCGACAGAAGCGTACGAAGGCATTCGAAGGAAAACAACTTGCATTGGCATTTTTTCTGAGCTCCCCGTGGATTTCTTGGAGCGGCGCCAGAGGCGCCGCCAGGGGTGCCCAGCTCCGTTCTAAGACATCCGCGCGGAGCTTCGAAAGCTTGTATGTTGTGCAGCGTTTTCTTCCTGAAGGGATGGGTATCAACGTCATCAGTGCGAAGCGCACCTCCTACGATGAGTACGAGAGAGGTGTGCTGGAGGACTCGCTGGCCGAGCTGCAGGCAGAGGTGGCCAGCGGCACCAGCAGCACCGCGGCGGCGGCCACCGAGGACGGCAACAGCGAGAGCGACAGCGACCCTGCGCCCCTGGCTCTGTCCGTTCTCGCGCTCGTCATCTCGCTTTTCTCTGGTATCCCTGGCTGCCTCGCCCTCAAGAAGGGCCGGGCCGGCTCCGACTCGCGCTCCAGTCCCCCGCTGGCGCCGGACGTGGTCGGGTCCCCCACAAACAATCACGAGTGAGCAGCAGTGTGCGACCCAGGCTTGCGGCGGGCGCTTGTTCGCCGTTGGGCGGCACCTCCAGAGACGGGCGGAGGGTGAGACGCGCCGACGTCTCCGTAGAACGGGTCCCGTATTTTTGATTGAATGTTTGTAGCGTTGGCACGTTGCCCTCGCGAGAAGTTTTGGTATCCTGCTAGAGTTTGGGACTCCAAGCGGCTGTTTCGCGGTGCTGGGCGTGCGAACTCATCCTCATTCTTTTCTCCTCCGTTAAGGAAGCAAAGGGCACACAGCCCTCCCTCCATCTTCCGCTGCCTGGCACGTGATGCGCGCAGCCGCACCTGCTATGGGAGGACGTTTTTGTCGCGTGGTGTCTTCAGTTGCCCCAGCGGCCCTGGCCTGCAAAGAAGGGTCCCATGGGCCCCAGGCCGCGCCCTTTCAGGAGTTGCCATCCTCTCACCTCCTACTCTCTGTGGGGCCGCGCGGTGCGGCGGCTGCGCGCGCAGGGGGGTCTGGGCGAGGGGTGCGGTCTTCTGACGAAGGCGGGCCCGGGGCCGAGAGACATCGCTCCACGGCGCTCCGGAGCGCTCTCGGAGCTTTGTGGGCGGGACGGGGAGGGGGGAGATGATACCACGCTCCCCTTGCGAACGCAGAAATGGCCGGCGCTGGCAGCAAGGCCTCAGTGTTCACAGGCCTTGCGAATATCAAAGGCTTCGCGGTGCTCCCAAGATGACATGACATTTCCTCTGCGCATGTCCGGTCGCGTGAACACCACAGGGCATGTGCACAGCACAAAGGAAGCTCTCAGAGAGTTTTGCTACATTCTCCAGAACTGCTGGATCTCAGAGATCCCCGGTTTGGCCCAGTTCGACTTCTTCCCCGTCCTGGTTTCGTCTCACTTCTGAGGCGCCCTCCTGCCCCCGAAGACGCCCTCTCAGAGGCCTCCAAGCCCTCCCGAGAGAGCACCCCCCTGCCTTCATTGGAAGGCCGCCCCCTCGCCCTGAGCCCCCCCCTGTTGCGCTCTCCGCGGGAAATTCAGCAGCGCGAGCTGACGACGATGCGTGCGGGCCCTGTGCGGGCGCGCCTCCCCCACTCCCCCCGCGGCGTGCGCAGATCGGGTCGGACGACAGGAGGGGGGACGTGTAGAGGAAGCCCGTGCCAAAGAAACACCCTGCTTGCCTCCAGGGTGCCCTGGGTCTCTTGGAACTCGATGGCTCTCTTCTGGGAAAGGTGGCTTCTCCCATGCCAAGAATCAGTGGACATCCTGGTGCTCCAGGGTCGGGTTTCTCCTGATCGAGCTCCTGCTGTAGGGACCAGGGAGGGGGGCCTCGGACATCTGCTGCATGCAGCTGGTCTCGGCCCCGCCGCCATGGCAGCCTTCCCAAAACACCGGCGCCTCCTGGCGCCTCGGGAGGCACCGGGAAGACCGGCAGTACATGTGCGAGCGGGTCCGCCACCTCCGTCCTGATGTTTTCACAGCGTGGCTCCCCAGAGGTCTCGACCCCTCACCTGGGATCGGTTTTCCATCCCGGCTTGTTTTGGGACGGTCCCGGGGCCTGGTGAGGGCGAGAATGAGCACAGTCCTTCCGTCGTGATCTTTTCGCAACGAGAGGATGTCAGGGCCCCCCTTTCAGGGAATGGGTTACGGGGGGAACCATCGAGCTGGAATCGCAGGTAGATTGGCGATAGGCTCCCGATAACAAATCCGCGCGTTCCTGGGCGGGGTGGGCTATCAGGCCCCAATCGGCGGTGTGTCGCAGATTCCAGCTCGATGCTTCCCCCCCGGGCCTATCCTCCCTTTCGCTGCCCCCCTGTCCTACCCCCCCTCTTTCGTCCGCCCCAGCCCCCGCTTCCCTGCGGCACGCGCGGAGGCCCACCGCCAGAGGGGTGCCGTGGACGTCGCCGCCGCACTTGCGGCGCCCCGTGCAGGCTCTATTTCGTGCCACCAATCCAGGGGATTCGACCCAGGGCAGCACAGCCCCCCCCGCCCCCCGCCATCAGGGGCAACGATAGGGAGGGAGTCAGGGGGGGATGCATCGGCCCCCATTCGCGCATTGATCGATCGCCGATAGGGGCCCGACAGGCTCAGGAACGTGCTGGTTCGCTATCAGGGGCCTATCGCCGATCTATCGGCGATGTGTCGCCGAGTCCAGGTTGATGTTTCCCCTCCTGTGTTAGTCCCCCCCCTCCCCCAACGTTGCCCCTCAAGCCAGGACCCCCAATTTCGACCTGGTGATCCAAGAGGTCCTGGCTGGGGGTGCGGGTGTGGTGTCCTTGGGGTGCCAAAAAGAACACCCCCACCCCCGGCCAGGACCTCCTAGATCATCAGGTCGGGAGTCGGGATCCTGGCTAGGGGTGGGTGTGGGTTGTGCTGGCTTCAATGGAGACTGAACATGGCATGAGTTCATGATTTTTGGCCTCTCTGGACACATAGTTTTGCCATACGTCGGCCGCGCAGTAGGGATAGCGCCGTGGCAGGTGCGTTCGCGCGGGAAAAGAGCGGCGCTGACAGCCATAACAGGGGCGGGGAGGCTTTGGAACCAAGAAGCGACGCAAAGACAAGCGTTCGGATGTCCGCGCGGATTTCTTGGGGTTAGTTCTGGCCCGTCCCCCCTTCCGTGCGTGCTCTTGGCGCCAGGGCAAGGGGTGTCCCGGGGGGGGGTTGCAGCGCAGTCCCAAAAGAGACCCGCGCGGACCTCACAACGCTTACTCTTATGCTGCTTTGACGGCCTCTAGAAGTGGCGCGGCTCCCAGACACGCTTCCGAGTCTCTTCGGGCAGATCATTGCGTGCCTTCTTCTTCCTCTTCCATCCACACGCCTTCCCCCCTCTTTCCCAGAGCTCCGACGTCGATGCCGTGTTCGAGGAGGTACGAGAGGCCGTCTCGCGTGACACCACGTATCTCCAGGCTTGGGAGAGCCGTGACGATGATGATGACGATGATGATGATGCTGCTGATGATGCTGCTGCTGATGATGATGCTGGTGATGATGATGGTGAGGGTGATGGTGAGGATGACGATGGTGATGTTTATGCTAATGATGAGGTTGGTGATGATGCTGCTGATGATGACGACGATGATGATGATGATGATGGTGAGGATGATGGTGAGGATGATGATGATACTGATGATGGTAAGAATGATGATGCTGATGATGATAATGGTGATGATAAGGATGATGATGATGATGATGGTGGTGGTGGTGATGATGATGATGATGACGACGATCATGATGCTGATGTTCATGATGGTGATGGTGATACTGACGCCGATGCTGATGCTGACGCCGATGCTGATGCTGACGCTGATGCTGATGCTTATGCTGCTGATTATGGTGCTGATGCTGGTACTGCTGATGATGCTGCTGCTGGTGATGATGATGACGATGATGATGATGATGATGGTGATGATGGTGATGCTGCTGCTGGTGATGATGATGATGATGGTGATGATGATGATGATGATGATGATGATGATGATGGTGGTGGCGGTGGCGGTGATGGTGAGGAGGAGGAGGAGGAGGAGGAGGATGAGGAAGAAGAGCAGGAGGACTAGCAGCAGGAGAAGGAGGAGGACGAGGAAGGCCGTCAATTGTGACACAGCTCGCCTTCTCTATTGGAGAAGCTCTCGTGGAACTCATTTGGGCCGTCTTGCGAGTGTCTTGGCCTCCTGTGAGGCAGGCTTGGGGGTGCTTTGGGGCCTCTTGGGGCGTCTTGGCCGCATAGTGGGTGCCTGGTTGCCGTCTTGGCGTCGTCTTGGGTAGTCGAAGAGCCTTCTAAGGCCATCTTGGGTCCCACAGGAGGCCCTCTTGGGCCGCCTGCTGTCTCGCATGCCTCTTGGGCCATCGTGGGGTCCTCTTGGACTTATTCGAAGACGGCATGACTTGGTACCGCGGCAGCTTGGGCCAGCTTGGCACCGCAGTTCTGCTCTCATGAACGTTTATTATTCTTCGGAGATGGCATGACTGTTCGAGGTATCGTCCTCATGAGTTCGGGCCTCTGTGCGCTGCTCCGCACGGTCAGCGGCGGTGGCGTGCAGACAAGTAGTGCGAAAAACGCGCGTGCCTTATTGTATGTATGGCGCTTCAGAGCGGAAGAGTTTGTGCCGTTGTCAGTGGGCATGCAAGTCAGTTGCTCTCTTCTGCGGTGTGCCCGATGCGGCTTCTTGGAGTGCAAGCATCCCGCTGCGGACAGGCGGGCCCGATGCGATTGCCTGGTGTGCAAGCGTCCCGCTGGCGCGCAGCAGGCCCGATGCGGTTGCTGGTGTGCAAGCATCCTGCTGCGCCATCGCGTGGCAAAACTGACGCGAGCGGTGGCGCGCGCGGGAACATCGTGGTGGTTGCTTTGACCATCTTAGAGCCGTCGTGGAGGCTTCTTGAGCCGTCTTGGGCTGACGGAAGCCAGAAAAGGCGAGAATGCGAGAACCATTCAAAAACCTTAGGCGAACAAATATTTCCTCTCGCTTCGCGGGGTGCACGTTCAGAGCTTCGTAAAGACTGCGCCAGGTGTTTGCCCTGTTCGTCTGCCGCGCTGGTCTGCGGTGTCGTTCTGCCCCCCCCCCCCGGGTGCCAGCGCCGCGGAGGGCGAACGCGCCCCCCTGCTCAGCGCCGGGACGAGCGTGCGAATGTCCACAAGGCATCTGCAGTTACCGCGTGTCAGCACAGGGCAACGCCAAATTGTCCGATGAGCATACCGTCACCGCGGGCCTCCTGGGGATTTCTTGGGGCTGATTGGGGGATTTTTGGGAGCTTCTTGGATGCTACTTGGGGGCCCCTGGGAGCCTCACGTGGGCGTCTTTGGGATCTCGTGGGGTCTCTCGGGGAGAGTGGAATGAGGGTGAGGGTGAGGAGGAGGACTGGACTGGACTGGGACGCTTGCGACCCTGATGAGCGACGCTGGAATAAAACGTATTGCAACCGAGCAGTGAATCTGTAAAAGGATCTGCGAATAGCAGGGGGCTAGAGCCTGCGACCCGGGAGTCCTCCGGCACAAAGCAGGACCACCCGAAAGGGGAAGCACCTGTGG